GAGTGTAGTGAGCCGGCCAGACCCTCTAGTTACACCCAGATACCTCATTCTCTCCAGGCTATAATAATCTTCTTTCTCAACTGATTCCGTTGCTTATTGCCAAAGGGCCTTGATCACAACTGCCTTGTCCCAAGGTTTAAGAGGATGGACATAGTAAGTAAGGCGTTAAGTTAACACCTTCAGTTTAAATAAGTTTGAAAATGTTGCACAGTAACAGTGCTGCAGTGTGCATTTATGTGAAAGTGTGAAATGTATCAGTTGGGATTTGAAAACTTTAGTAAAAATTCATTTGTGTAAAATAAATCATTTAGGATTTGAAAATCTAAGTTAAAACCGAGTTTGTTAATATTAGTGTGAAACAAATACAGACACAAGTTATGAATATCATCCATTTGGTATATTTTTATCTGCATGTTTTTACAAATATCAAGGCTGCTATGCTGTACATGTTTTTCAACATCTTTGTTGGTGGCAGAGTTAATTTCTAAGGTCTAAAATAATGATAAAACAGATACAATTTTTAAAGTTTATGTGCTATCATAATAAAGACAGCAAATACTGTTATAAAAAGACAAAATATTTAATACATTCAAACCTAACAGTTGCATGTTTTATATAAAATTCCAGTTGTTTTATCGAGGCAGTCATCATAAATCAGTGTGATCTTATTGTAGTAACTTTTGTAACATTTATAAGCAATAGGTAAAATACTGTATTATTTATAGTTTTTTTGCAAATATGTTTGATGATAGAATTTCTCTATTACAAGTCACTGCAGATACATAAAGCTATCTCTTCATGAAGTTATATTTATTTAAAATTCATCCAGTTTATATTGCCTTATTTTTCTGTCAGCTGCTGTTATGTTTGCTAATACTTTGCAGCCTATGCTATATGTTGGTGGTTAAGTTTTATTATATCCATTGAAGTCAATAAACTCATTGAGTTATCATAAGTAAATATTTGTTGTGTGTATATACTTCAGCACAAATCCATTTGCTTTTTTGAATTCAACCAATAATTTCATAAAAAACTATGGGCTTTCCATTTGGCCTCATTCTTTCACTTTTCCGTTGTCAGCTGTTCAGAAAAGCAAGAAACATTTTTTTTTTCAACAATACAGGCTATAGAAAACATTTTAATTTCATGGACTAATCATCAGCATCACCAACATTAAACAGCAGATCCTTTACAGATCATGCGGTCCCCGCAGCATGCATAAAAGCTTCTCTTTCTCTAGCCAATTCTCCAGCCTGTACTTTCATAGCCAGTTCATCTTAAATGTCTTGTATCCACCTTCACAGAGGTCTGCCTATGCAAAAACTGTACCCCTCCATCCCTGTGCTTTCCAGGCCACTGTGACATTTAACATGACCAAAATACCCCAACTTTCAGGACAAACTAACCAGTCCTAATCAGCATTTCAACAAATTAACTAAGTTTAAAGCTCATTACAGAGAACAGATGACAAGAAATGACAAAAGAAGTGGGGACAAGTAAAAATCAACCATAAAATAACCAGTGAAAACGTTTTTGTACTTACTGATAAAAGCAACTATTCATGACATAAAAACATTTACTTTTACATAGATAATTCTCTATATTCATCATTAATTAGTTCCATGGGGTGCTCTAAATGCAGAATCTTTCAATAACAGAAGTTGTATTAAATATATCAAAATGGAGATGTGTTATTTGAAATCATTGGTTAAGATTTAAAATTACTGTTCCGCCAGTATGTTACCAGGAGCTCACAGGAAGCAAATATTGGTAACACTGCATCCTATTGGGCATATTGTAAGAAGTGACTAAGGGTAGGACTGGGTTTGGAGTTGGCTACTATTTTTACAGAGATCAATGTGGATCGTCACCAGACCTATGGAATTCATGCTTTGTGCGGCGCTCTCAGCAGGCAGCTAGCTGTTCTGTAGAGAGGGACTAAGCCATATGGGATAAAACCCAATGCAATAAACTTGATCCTTTCAACTTTAACCTCAACTTTATGGTAACACATGCTTAGGAGTCAAAGAGTTGAAAGACTCACACTGGATACAAGTGTCTCAAGAATAAGGTTGACAATTACACAAATTTATATTTCACAAACATTAGAAATTCTGACAAATATATACTATACATCATTGCCTGGAATATTTCACTGCAGCTGCAATATATTACAGATTTTATGGTGAAACACACAGTATAATCAAATGTGTGATTTTTTGTATTCTACTAAAATTATCATTTTTTGTCCTTCACTGTATTCTGATATAAATTCTTCAGTGTACAAATAACGCAGTACTGTCAAATAAGCCTGGCAATGAATTACGCAAAATTTTTTGCAGATTAGTTTCATCATTAATGACATTCACAATGTTTAAAAGTTCCTAGAATTCTTCAGTAGTTAATGACTCAAAAAACAACTGTTTTCTTGCTATATTGTAGATAAAAGACCATTACAAAAATCTGATCTGATTAGAAACAAATGATCAAATCAGAAGAATTATTATCTTATTCAACAAGCAGTTTCTTAAAGTTCATTGCTGCAGATATCACACAGCCTCTATTCATCTCTCTGGTTGGCCTTCTCTTTCTGGTTGGTGACACAAAGTGTTTGTAGGTCTGTCTAGACGTTGTTTCCATAATCTTCTTGGTCGGCCTCGTGGTCTAAGATCATACAGTTGTGTATACAGTTTTCACCTCGCTGTCATCTGACATTCTCTCAATAATGACCTAACCATTTAAGTCAATTAGCTCTCATGATGCCAGTTATCAGTGGTGATTTAAATAGATTACGAATGTCATTGTTGCTTCTCACTCTCCATTCTCCACTATTTCCATCTTTGATGAGTCCAAAGATTTGTCGTAAGACTCTGTTTTTGAATATTTGTAATAAGGCTTTACCTCTTTTAGTTGTGCTCCAAGTCTCAGAGCCAAATAAAATGACTGGTCTTATCAATGTTTCTTAGTGTTACGAGACAGACACTCTGGCTTTAGCAAATGGTGAAGTAGTATACTTTATTTCCATATTGTATTTTAGATTTTTTTTCTCCTAGCATGTTTGAGCAGTTGAAGTTTGCACCCAAAAACTTATATGTTTAGGTTTAGTTTGATTTTCATATTATCGACTTTTTTTGTGGCTGCATTTTTTACCCCTTTCCCTATCCTGTTTTTATCAGGTCTTACCTTGACTGATAACTAATCCTGTTTTGTAAGCTGCTTCTTTTAAGAGAGCTTTTTGAGCAAAAAAAACATGCATTTTGAAATATTCTTTATTATTTAAGTCTCTCACTCTTTTGGCCTTGCACTCCAAAGATAACAGGTTCATGTTTAGACTCCTTCGTTAACTAATATAAATTTCTTTAGAGATTCCTTTGAGGCTTTCAAGAGAGCTCTGAAGCTAGAGCATTATGTGGTGCTTTTAGTAAAAGGCAAGCTGCTATGCAGAGAAAGACTAAGCCATTAAATATAAAAACCTGGTACAGTTAAGTCGGTCAGCATCTATTGTCTTTCCTGGATATGATAGTTTGATTTCCATATCATTTTATCTCAGTTATTATGGCCACCAGAAAACGGTTATGATAACCTGTGGTACAGAGTGGGTGGAATTAAGACTGAATCACTTTGGAACATAATTTTAATTGACTATTTAACATCTCATGTGGCATTTTTACTTTACAAATTATGCAAAGTTTGGATACATACACTTGAAGAAAATCAGCATCAGCAAGATAACTGATTACTTAAAAAACCAATATCAACCAAATGATTATTTAAGAGTGAAAAAAAAAATAGAAAGATAGAGCTAACAGATCTATTTTATTTTATAGTCTCAAAACAATGTTTACATGCTTTTGACTCATTCATGAAAATTGTCAATCGTTTATCTTTGTGGAAATTTAATTAATGTCTTCTTCTTCTTCTTCTGCCTTTCCTTCTTAGATGGTATCTCACAGTTAATGTCCAGTTCCATTTCTAAAGGCTGGATAGCTGGAAGTACCTCTGGGGTTGGTCTATTTAGAAGCACTTCAAAATGTTCAGCCCATTTGTCTATTTTTAAAATTTATATTTACTATACAATTATAATAAAACAAACTGCAGAAAAAAGAACACAGTGTTTTAGTTATTTACAACTGTTCCTTTTCAAATTGCACACTAAGACAGCAAACCAAATTACTTGCCCACTCAAAGAGAATGCCTTGGAATGCTATACCATAAAAGGCATACCCCACAAGAGGAGAAGAAGGTAGAGCACAGTTATAACAAGAAAAGGGTGGAGGAGGTAACATCAGTGAAACCTTACAACATCATGATGTGTCTGGTCAAGGCAGCCCGAGGAGCAAGAAGCATAACCGTATATCTCCTTGACACCTGAAGCTGTAAAAGAGGAAGTGAAGAAGGGCTTAATTTGTACAATTTTTGTTTAATTGGTGAATGAAATTGTATGCATTTATACATAAGCCTCTTACTCTCTGAGGTAAACTGGTTTCTAGTGTTGAGTTACAAAACTTGCATTCAAATAAAATGTACAAAAATACGTCTTTACAAATGGCTATGAAACATAATGCTCGACTGGCTTTGTACAGTTCTTTAGACACTTGTGCAAGTCAATTAACACAAAATACGAAGCAGCTGATGGCAGTGGAGTCGGGACATACAACTTGCATATTGTGATGCAAGTGCTTGATTCTCAGTGGGGCTTACTGATTTTAAAAGTTGTCTCAGTCTGAATACAAGTACATTGCTCGGACAAATAGACTATATTTCTCAGTATGGACAAAATAACTTTTCTAGCACAAGCCAGCAAAGATATAGATGCAAAAATTAAACAATGCAAAATATAGAAAATGGAAAAGACTGAAATAATATTCCATACAAATCATATCAAGTCAAAATAGTTTTTATTTTCCATTTTACAAAATGTTACAGTCTCTCACTTTTACAAACAGGTAACAGGTCCTTTTAATCAAGATGAATACAGTCAAGTTACTTTTTTTTTTTTTTCAGGACAAGTTTGACACATCAGGTTTTGGTCTGTCATCATGGTGGCATGTTCTACAACATTTTGATTGTACATATTGTTTGTGACACAGTCCGACTTTTTTCAGCATTTGGCAAACATTGAAGCTCATTTCATTGGATTCACATGAGACGGTCAAAGCTGAAAAATATATTACAATTGAAATATAATTATTAAACATTTGGCACACACACAAAAAAGAAATAATTACAAAACATATCTAAAGATTTGACAATCAATTAATGACATGGATAACAATTTTATGAACCTCTTTTTAGTGGAAACTTAATCTCTTACTTAATTACTGAAGAAACAATTGCAGTTTTTGAACTGAAATGCTGCAGAAAGATTCTTAGAACACATAGATCAAGAAGAAAGAAAATGCCAGCATCCTACATGATCTGAGCTTCGAGGAACATTTGCTCATAAACAGCATCCTGTGCTGAAAGCTGAGGTATTTTGGCCATGTTGAACATCATAGTAGCCTGGGGAGAATGGTAAAGGTCCAGTTTCTTAAAGCGAGGCAGACCTCCACAAATATGGATAAAAGACATTAAAGATGCATTGGCTATGAAAGCACATCACTGGCTAGAGAAAGAGAGACCTACAGCTGTGCTGAGACAAGAGCAACATTCTGTAAGGGATCTGCTGATTGATGATGAGGAGACAAGGGCCCTATGGTACTAGATGGCTATAATCTTGCCTGGTCTTGGCATCACATTTGCACTAAGACACATTTTTAGAAATGGATACCAGGAAAATCTCTGAGAAGAAGGTTGTCAGCATGATGTTAACAATATCACCCATCGAGTGCCAACTAGTTAATCACCAAATATCTGATGCACAGATCGTGTGAAGTGGACTTTTATATAAAATGATACTGTCTATGCAATCACAATATAAAAAGTAAATATGCATTTCATTCATCTTCCGATTCCTTACCTTCACACTGAAATATAAATCATCTTCTATGCTAGCACTTAACTCTTTGAGTCCCAGGGGGTTTAGCATCACAGACCCAAGGGGTAGTCAAGAAAGACGTAAAATCAGTGCATCTTGCAGTAATTGGGCTTCTGGGTAGGAATCTATGAATGTATGAGGCGTTCCTCAGGACTCAAAGAGTTAAAGTCAACTTTGTCAACATTTTCTATATTTATTTCCTTTCATTGTGACTACATTTTCAAGGGAACTGACAATTTCATTATTATTCTGAGATTTCCCCATTTTTAAAGACTTTCTTCTTTTTTTTTTTTTTACTTCTGAGAAGTGAATGAAGATAGCTCTGTTTATCACCTGCGATTTACTAATTACTACTACTGTCTCATCCACTGATAAACACTGGTTGTATCTATCATGTTTTTACCCTATTCATTAACCCTATTGACCCCTTAAAAACCAGTTCTGTGGCATTTACAGGTTTATGCTAATATTAAGTCTTTGTACAGTGGCCACTCTACATTTATAATAGCTTACGTAGCAGCATCTACAAGGCATACTGTGCAGACACGTGGGTATGACTATATATCCCCCCCCCCCCCCCTCCCCCCCCCCCCCCCCCCCCCCCCCCCCCCCCAAAAAAAAAAAGAATTTGAGATATTATATGTGGTGTTTAAAAGGTTGGTAAGGTGTTTAGTGTTGATTGCCTGGTTTGTGACTTGAAATAGTTTAGTGGTTTGAGACTGTATCACTTCGTTTCTTGCTATCAGCTGGACTGCAATCGCTCCTAAATTCAACATTAAACAATTATAAGGCCAGCACTACATACTTAATAAGCTTTAAGCATGGAATACTTATAAGAGTGGTTGGGTAAATGGTTAGCCACTGGGCTCCCATGCAGGAGACCTAGGTTTGATCCTCGGTAAGGGAAGGAGAATTCTGCCTACCCAGGAAACATGCAAAAAAATCCTAACCTGCACAGTTTGTAGCGACTGCACTAGGTATGCAGCTATAAATGTTTAGGCTCACAGCCCCTCTATCCTATGTCCCCAACTAGTAAATACAGGCAGTAAAGACAATAAAGACTGAGCACTTACCAGCATTATCATCTGCGGGACATTCATGTTCATTACAGTCCTGCCTCTCAGGAGGCTTGAAATCTTCTTGACATCCTTGTGTCAATTGCTGGGACGTGAGATTCACACACTGAACCAGTCTCTCTTGACTGCCAAGACCACATGACTTTGTGCACTACAAATAAATGGAAAAAAAAGGTGTTAACAATTTATCATTTCCCAAGTTTATGTTTTTCTTCATTGCAGCAAAATATGTTTTTGTATGAATATATGGACTTCTGCTTATTCAGTGTTGTGGCTTTAAAGGGTAGCTAAAGTGCAGTGTTGTGGTTTACAACGGCTGTGATGTCTGTACCTTTTGGCCTAGCACATCTGCCTCTGTGGCGAAGTTGCCAAGCCATTTGCCTCACGGCTTGAAGATTGTGTCTTTATTTCACCTCTGTGCCATTCAGTTTAAGTGTACAATTTTTACAAAGATCCTTGATAATTGTCACTGGAGCTACAGTGTTCATGCTCTGTGCAAAGCAGGCTGCTAACCCTCTGTAAGGAGACCAAGCCCTATGGGGTAAAACTTGGTGCAATAAAGTCTTTTCTCTCAACTTAAATATTTTAACCTTTCCTAATCAGCACCTGAACCTTTCAGTGATTGATTATTGCCTGAGACTGCTTACCATCTCAAAGAGTCAGATGGACAAACCAGTGTGCATACAGAACGAAGCTATGCAGGTCATTCTGGGTTGCACCAGAGTGTGCGAGTGTGTATGCTATACATACTTGCTTTGCCTACTGTTGCAGGTAGGCACAAGGTGCTGCAGGCGAAGTCATATCTCAAGGTAGCTGCAGACACAGATCCCCTTTTGCACGAAGCTCTGGACACAGTTTAGGGTCAGAAGCTGATAAGAGGGAAGTCATGCATGGCTCAGCAGAAGACAAAATCAGACAGGTTTGCACCCTGAAGAACATTGGGCAAGGAGAGGAGTGGGTCAGAGTGCCAGCGGAACAGTCAGATTGGTGTAGAGTCATAATCACATTGAGCCGGCGGCGGTGCAGGGAGTGGCCAGCAGGTGAAACAGAGGTGGAAATTCAGCAATTAATTCAAGATAATGCTCGTTCAGAGGATGTGATTTTTTATACAGATGGTTCAGTGTCAAGAGGCAAAAGAGGTGCTTGGGGGTTCTTAGCATAAGCTAATGATCGACGTTTGGTGCAGGAGAGCCTAGCGTATTATACCACACATCCAGCCTAAGAATGGAGGTAGAGGTGGTCACTGCAGCTTTCAACTGGCTAGAGAACATGACACACACACACACATTGTGGTTGTAACTGACTCAAAAAGCATGTTGAGGAAGGTGAGGACAGGCATGCTTCGTGCTGAATGGCATGCTTTGCTTCAGAGGTCACGGGTGAGGAGCTTTGTCTGCATTTGTTTCTTCTGGGAATGATAGTCAGAAAGAAGGAGCTAACTGAGTGCTCCAGCTCTCACTACTAGGTGTCTGTAGACTAGCAGAATGAATAAATCAATGAAGGATTGATACCGCTGACCTCCGGACATTTCTAAACTTGCTCTGTTCCAATCCTCAGGAGCCAACAGAGAGCTCCCATACTAATAGCACCAGTCGTAAAGTAATTAAGTGTCTGCCTGTCTTTTCTCTGTATGTTGAAAATGCTAAGACCTTCTACTTACTTCCTGCTGAATCAATTTATCAAGGTATGAGCCCTCTGTCTGTACTGTGGCACCTGATCCTCGAGAACCTTCACTGCATCAACTTCATTATAAATTTAAAGCGAGGAGGAATGGCAGAGCCAAACTATCACCCTGATCATTATCCTACACAACCAAATGTCACAGAGAAAAAATATGTGATATACTCTTGATCTGGATCTTAACAAATATTGCAGGCCACTCTAAGCATTCATCATCAGTGTCTGTTTTCCAAAGCATACTCTGTGAAATCATTGCCGGTACAACATTTGTCAGGTTGTACCACCCTCCAGCCTTCAGAGAAACTAGCACAGCAAAGATGGCAGCTTACATTTCAAAATAGTATTAATCAGCTAACATTTAAAAAAAAAGGCTATACACAAGTTTAGAGCTAAACATTTTATCTACTCAACAGTTCTTACCTTACTCCAGTAGAGCTAAACATTTTATTTACCCAACAGGTCTTACCATACTCCAGTAGAGCTAAACATTTTATTTACTCAATATTTCTTACCTTACTCCATCAGAGCTAAACATTTTATCTACTCTACAGTTCTTACCTCACTCCAGTAGAGCTAAACATTTTATCTACTCAACATTTTTTACCTCACTCCAGTAGAGCTAAACATGTTATCTACTCAAAATTTCTTACCTTACTCCAGTAGAGCTAAACATTTTATCTGCTCAAAATGTCTTACCTTACTCCATTAGAGCTAAACATTTTATCTACTCAACAGTTCTTACCTTACTCCAGCAGAGCTAAACATTTTATCTACTCAATAGTTCTTACCTTACTCCAGTCTCCATACACCCAGCTAATACAAGAGCTGAGGTCCTTACATGCCCGGGTGGATTCTGGTTTCTGCAATACATCACACTGTCCTGGGTTGGCACAAAATACCTGGCGAAATTGTGTTGCCTGTCCACAGGTGGCTGAGCACTGAATATTTAGAAGATTAAGAGATTTAACAAATAAACAAGAAGTTTACAGTGTTCAGTTTTAAACAATTCTTCTAGTAACATTAATTTTTCTGAGACAATGATTACAGTAATGTTCTAACATAAGAATACAGGTAGAGTATGAATCATCAAAAATTGTACACAATCTATTTACAGTTTATAAGAAGAATTCCGATGCTTTATTTATTTTTTATTTTTTTATTTCTGTTAACTACACCATGTTAGAACAAAGAATTTATATTTTACGTTCATCAATAAAAATACAAGAGTATACGTACTTAGCAATTCATTAATTTCTTCACTTCTTCTTTGGTGGTACAATTTGATAAGAGTACAAAGGGATAACATAAGTAGAAGACATTTCACATTGGCACAGAAAAAATATCACAAAAAAGAAACTGCAGTCTGATTGATAAAAAAGGAACCACCTTATGCATAAAACAGTCATTATAGGTTAGATAAAGACATTTTGCATTTTACATTGAACTAGTTTTTATTTCTTGGGGTGAATTAAAAAAAAAAGTAAGCAAATAGTATATTTAATGCATCAAGGTTTCAGGTAAATTTTAAATGAGAATCACACAATTCCTTGAAAAACAAAAACAAACAAAAATAAATAAACTAAATAAACTAAATGTTTAAAAACAGGCTTAGATGCAGAGAGAGCATATCACCAACAATTGAAAGAGGTAGCTATCAGTTTTAGAGAAAAGTTTGACTGAAAAATAATGGAAAGATTTGCAGAAAAAAAAAGAAATGTAGAGAATAAGAGAAGATTCCAGACTACCTTTTGACAGGACACCAAAAACGTTTCAGCAAACAAACTGGTACAATTTGTTGGAGATTATTCTGTTCTTCCTTTGTCAATACCTGTTCAGTGCTGATAGACATCCCAGTTTAATGGATGATATGTAGCTGGGCCAAGTGGCTTGTTATGTTGTGATGTCAATGATTCCTTTAGTGAATATTTTGAAGGTCTACCTCTGCGTCTTTGCCTTTTCATTTTCATGTTGTTCCCTTTCACTGCTGTCAGCATTGAATTATTCTGACTAGATGGTCAAACATTTCAGTCCTTGTTTCTCAATTAAATTTAATGATGGGTAGTGTTCCAGTAGTTTTTCTAATCTCTTGAGGGGAAGGGGTCGTATAGATGTTTCCAGAGCTATACTGTTCATACTATGTACAATGCTCTCGGCATGTGGCTAGCCATTATGTGGAGAAAGATCAAGCCATGTGGGATAAATCTCAGTGCAATAAAGTCTATCCTCTTGACTTTTTAACCTTTCACCTTTCTAATCTTTTTATTTCTCACGGGATCAGATTCAAAAATTGTTTCTAGAGCAATTTTTGTCAGTAGTTGAATCTACTACTGGACCCAATGGAGATTGGGAATTCATAATCACTGATGTCAGTTGGTAAGGTGCTTAATGTTGATACATTGCCTGGTTCTGCATCACAAGGGGTGAACTGATGCATGACAAGACCAATGTGGTGAAGGCTTTTGTGAGCATGTGAACAAAGAGCAACAATCACTGGAAGACAAAATACTGTTATTGGCTGTTTCTTACATCATTTAAAAAAATATTGTTAGTATATGTGATTTTTATTATGAATCTCATCTGTCCTGCTGTGTGCTGGGGCAATAAGTAGACTGATAGATTGGCTGTTGTGGCTCCACTGAGCAGTAAACGAGCTACTTTATGATAAAATGGGCATAGGGAAGGCTTTCCGGGAGCATGTGGATAGTGCAACAGAAAAGAGCATCCAAGCCTTGAAAGACTAATTCAATTTAGAGTAGGCAGAGAATCTGGACAGTTTTCAACATGCAGGAGAAAAGACAGATAGACCTTTAATGAGGTTGCTATGGCTCCATCAGTTGGGGAACTCTTCACTGGCTGCTGAGGAAGGGAACAGATCAGGTGTGGAAATGCCCTGAATGTGGTGATGTCATTTCTGAATTAATTAATGCATTCACTTCGCCAAGAAGACTATGGAGAGATAATGTCCAGAGAGACCTGCAAACACTTGGTGTTACCAATTGAAAAGCGAAGGCCAACCAGAGAGATGAATGGAGACGGGTGATATCTGCAGCAGTGAACCTCAAGGGCTCGAAATGCCGAAAAAGAAGAAAAAAATTTTTACTTCACCATATGTAGACTGCTCAGCCCTATTGTTAGAGAAAAAAGAATAGGCATATTGCCCCCCCCCCTCCCCCCCCCCCCCCCCCCCCCCATCCTCACACCAAAAAGTATTTCATAAAAGTCAACTAATTAGGGGTGTTTCCTTTGAAGTTGGTCTGCATCTTCCTAAGAGGCAAGGAACCAACAGTCTGCATACTAATAAGCCAGAATTGTAAAATAGATGAGCATGCAAAACTCAAGTTTCAGGAACAAGACCAAAGTCTAGATGTGGACAAAGAACTATAACTTTCTACCAGAGTTTACAGCCAGTGACTGCAAAGACCAAGAAGAATTCATTTACTCATTCTTCAATTCATTTATCCATTCTGCAGATTTCTTGCGTTCTGCTGAAATCCTATAGCCTCTGTGACCAAGGAGAGCATTTACCAAGATATTAATGAAGGAAGATGATTCCTTATCAGACCCAGGATTTTAATGAACATGAAGCTTCACAGACTGCACAAGGGCTGATTGAAACACTTATTACAATATAAAAAGCAACAATATAAACTGTACCTCTTCCCAATAACCAGTCTGCCACTCCAGACATATGGACTCAAAACATTCCTCGATGGCTGAAGGTTTGTTCCCAATGTTGCAGAGGTCCTTGTCTACTTTTTCATTGGTTTTCTTTTGAACGCAGGAAACTTGTCTGGTGCGCACACCTTGACCACACTGACTGGAGCACTATAACATCAATGGAGAAAACATATTGGTATGAAACTACCTTCATAGACCATTTGAAGATGGATGTGCATTGGCTCTATGTATGTAGAACAACATAACTATAAGAAATAATTAAATCATGATGAAAAAGAAAAGAACAGGTCTTTGGTGATTGTATATTACAGCAGACTCTAACTTGTAAATAGTATACAATGGACAATTTATTCACAGAGGCACCATCAAATGTATGTTGTGATAACTTTTTCTGCTTCTTCTTTTCTCTACTCATGGAATGTCTCGCAGCATCAGGGAAGGAAGACATCTCAGGAACGGGCCCTTCTGTTCGCTTTGTATAAAGTACCTTTCAGTGTCTCTGATGTTTCTGCAGTCCATCTTCCACGTGGTCGAACTCTGGCTCTGTTACCGCTATACCTTGATAACAACTGTGGTATATCATTGACGACAACATGAAGAAGACCTGCTTCCTTGCCAGCCATTTTAGAATGACTTTATATCAACCTGAGTAACTGATTTAAATTTACTCCCATGCCTGCTTCCCTCTAGCCACTCTTTACAGCAGAGCTATTCAACTGGAAGCCCTTAGGCCAGATCTTGCCCACAGAGGCCTAGTGAGTGCCCAGTAGATCACTGCTGATTGTATTGAATTAATGGGCTGTCTATGCTGGGACCCGGACCCCATGATGACCCTAGTTTCACAATTTTGGCATATATGTAAACTTAGTTGAATAGCCCTGCTTTACAGTCTATCTCTACTAAGAGTAACTAGTGAGGATATTGAATTATCTATCTAGTACAGTGGCTCTCAACTTTCCTAAGGCCGCAACCTTTTGATACAGTTCCTCACGTTCAGGCGACCCCTAACCATACAATTATTTCCGTTGCTGCTTCATAACTTCAATGAATATGTGTTTTCCTATGGTCTTAAGAGACCACTATGAAAGCGTCTTTTGACTCCCAAAAAGGTCGCGACCCACAGCTTGAGAATTTGAGAACTGCTGATCTAGTAGAATTAAAAAACAAGAAGAAATAAATAATAATGTAACTAAAACAAACAAAAAACATAAAAGTGCATAACATTTATTTTACCTTGCTCCATGGAAGTGTTTGCCAGGTGAAAGATGAATTGCCAGCATTGAAATGATTTGGAAGGACACTCTGTGTGTTATCACTAACTTGCAATGGCACTGTGTCCACCTTGTTCATTTTCTCACTGTCTGGGCTAATCCAAGAACCCTTTTCAGGTACCGAACTTGTCACGTTACCCTCTTTATTTTCGGAATGATGATGATGTAAAGTTTCATGAGAGTGGCTGCTTTCAATATTTACATTATTGTTCATATTTACACTTTCTTTAATGGGATCCGAGCTTGAGTTCATGATAAGAATATTGTTTTCATCATCATCCAGAAGTAGCATACTATTATTGCTAATGCTGATCATATCTAAAAGTAATGAAGATGTTGGTGATTCTGAAGGAAGAATGTCACTGCCATCTTGTTTGCCTCCTTCTTTTATGTTGAGTATTTCCGCTGAAAGATTATCTGCACATTTATGTTCATTACATGCTCTAAGAACTTCTGGTTTCTCATCACTGCAACCAGTTTCTCCAACACAAGTTACATTTCTAACTTGGGATCCACCATTGCATGGTTTGGTACACTGTAATCATACAAAAACAAAACTAGTCAAGGTTCAGTTAAAATATTTTCATTAGTTACAATTGCCTCACTACCTGAAGGTCTAGAGTTCAAACCTGCACTGAGGAGGATTTTTAAATTCACTTCGGCTTCCAGGTCCATCCAGCCTGAAATTGGTAAACGGTAATGTCCTGGGAAGTAAAGACAGCCGGTAAGATACTGACTACATCACCTACTGAGTGCTGATTGGTCTAGCTCTGTATGGACAATGCAACAAAGGCGTGAGAAGGGTTCTCAAAGTGTTTACTGTTAGGGCAGTATAGATTGTGCTTCAGTACCAAGCAACTCAGATTATTATTTGGGTACTCCTTGATGAGAAGGTCTCCATGGTGAAGTAATCAAGCTGTTTGCCTCAGGGGGAACCCTGGGGGTTCATTTCATGGATGCATCTTTAATTTTTTTCAGAGAGTCCTGGAGAACATTGCATGAGTTACTGAGTTTGTGCTTTGCAAGACCCTTTTCGGCAATACTGTGGAAAGAGACCGAGTCATGTGGAAAAAACACAGTGCACAAAATTTGATTCTCTTGACTTCAACTTTAATTTTGCTGAGTGTCTTTTTATTACTTCTATGTTCTTTTTTTTCATTGTTAAATTAACCTGCTCTACCTGCACTGTTACTTTAACTTATAAGGTGACACTGTATTATTATTTAACCCTTTTAAACCCAAGGATTTATTAGTTTCAGGAAACAAACTGTTACAACACAGTGGATTAAGATAATACTTGTCTCGTATTCACAGAGCTGAGGTAGTGAAGGACTTATTCTGACTGTCATAATGGGTATTGGGTGTTGTTTGTCATCATCATCAGGTGCCTTGCCGACTGGTGTGGCGATCATGCCTCTCCATAATCTGCATCTTCTCTCGTTGTCTTCCTCTATCCCTCCTTCCACAGATCTTCCAGTGGTTACAACATGTTCTATTTTCCCTCTTCTCATAACATGGCCGAAAAATGATGACTGTCTCCTTCTGATGTCTATGATATGTGGTCTTCGGGCCCCCGCCTCTTTCAAAACCTCTTGGTTGCTCTTTTTGGCATTCTTCTGTAAAACCACATCTCTGAGGCCTCAAGAAATTGTTTGGCCTGCCTACCAGTTGTCCAGGATTCACAGCCACATGTTAAAACTGGATGTATGTAGCAAGCAAGAATTCTTTTTCTAACTCTGTGTTGTTTGTATTGGCCTCAAACAGTTGAGAAAATCTTGGCATCCAAAGCTATCTTTTCTTCCAATGAAAATGCACGATGCTGATTTTGTTGCTGTTGTTGCTGAACTGATATGTAAGCCTAGTTCTATCGAGAACTAACCATGTGTAACACATGGTCTATGATATTCCAAACATAAAACATTTTGCATATTGGAAATATTTAACAATTTTTTTTTCTATTTCATCAATAATGTGTGCATGAAAGATGGTGAAAGCATTGATGGTTTGCCACAAATCATTGTAACTCTATATTCCTTCATGTCACCGTCAGACAATTTAACATTATTGTTTTTATTGCCTTCCTTTTACTTCATCACACTGTAGATCTTTCTATTTGTAATAATGTTCTCCATTTTTTTTTATTTTTTATAATATTCTAAAACACTGTATGTCTCTTCTTATTGTTACTATTTTTATGATGCTTTCCCAGTATATTACTATTAGTTACTTTGCTGTCTCAGGCATTAATGTTTGTCTCATAAGCCATATCTGCTGTCTTCAAGCTCTTCCTAATTAATTACAAAATTTCTTATTAATCATACAAACAGCAATAAGTTACACTTAACACCAAAATCCATAGTGTATGTTATTATTTTTAATATTGTTGTTATTATTAAATAAATAATAGTCATATATATCATGTTTAAATTAAATATTTATAATAATTTACTTTAGTGAAAATGTAATACTGGGAGAAGTTTGTGAAAGCATTAATATTTCATTAACACACACACATACCCATACAAAAATGTTGAATTGAACCTTGTCACCCTAGTGATCTAAGAAGATATTGCTAAGATTATGTATTTTCTTCTTTTCTTAAATTTTTTTTTTTGCCTTCACCTCCCCAACCCCCCCCCCCCCCCCCCCCCCGCCCCCTCCCTTCCCAACCTAAAAAAAAAATCTTTAAGAAAAAAAAAAGCTATGTTACCCCAAAAAAAAATTACAAAAATTACATAAATAAATTTACGGACTAAAAAAAAAAAAACCTAGTAAATACCATACAGATGAAGGGGATTAATCAATCATAAAAAATGAAACCGAGAAATAACCGGCTTACATCTCTTTGCCTCTTGAGAATAAAGTTATAGTGTTACAATTACTTGACCCCATGACCCAGTCAAGGGTAAATGCTATGACAAATGGGAAAAATATGTCAGAATTTCTATATACCTTTTCTCACAAGGAAAGCCCTCTAAATGCTATTTTTAGTAAATGTATCAATTCCCCGCTAAATTTATGTGCAAGTGCAAAAGACTTTGATTCTGTTTGCTATAATTTTCATAAACAGGTCACTATAGTAAGCAGGGAGAGCAGCTCTTTTTGGGGTAATGGAAGCAACCAAAACTGCTCGGTTTATGGAGTTAAAAAAAATGTTAAAGGTGAATTAATCTCAGTGATGTGTTACATACATTGCTCCACTCTTCCACCTTCCAAACACCAGGTCGAGGACATGGGTCCTTGTGGTGGCAGGCTTCTATCTCCACGGGCTTAGGCAAACTTTCACAGGCCAGATCCTCTAGAGCAATTTGCTCATCCGGTCCCATACTGCGGACACAGATGACCGTTCTTTGATGGATGCCAACATCACAAGAGACCGAACAATGCTGCCATGGACCAGTCCACCATCTGTAAGGAAGCCGACAGAAAGAGAAAAATTATGATATGCTATAGTGCATTCATTTTTTTAAAGTATAGTAGATTTGTAATTTTCATGTTAAAAGTAATTGCAATGTTTAAAACCAAAAAAGTTTAAGGCCATACTTCCCATTCTGAATATTTAATGAAATGAACAAGTCTACAACATTATAAATCAATCTTCAAACATTCGGCTACCTTAGCAGAAAAAAAAGAAATGACAAAATGTAAGAGAAAAAAAGAACAACCTGTAAATGAGATATTAGGAAAATGCTGTGAACATAGCTAGAAGAGTTTTAGTGAGAAATGAAAGAGATTTTGAGAACTATGGAGAGAATACCCACTTGATACGAATGAAGCCAACAATGCTAGCAGCAAGAGCGTGCAGTATGAAGATGGGAATTTTAAGAGATAGATGAACTGAAAGAGTCATTATCAACCTAAGTCTTCATAACATATACCATATACAAATACCAAGAAACATATACATATACCAAGCAACCCAGCATGCTCTGGTCCGGCTACTAGTCATCTGTCAAACTGTGACATCCAGCAGCACAAAGAATATTTTGACAAAGAACAAGAAGATGAATATTTAACAAAACAACACAAATAATTATAAATATATTCTTTCAGTATCCAATTCCTTACCATATGTTTTTTTGTTAATCTTTTTATTCAGTGGGGAATGTGTTTATGCAGTGGCTAGAACAATTTACTGCATCTTCTTTTACTTCTTAGCAATAACCGACTGTAAACTCCAGATTAAAGTTCTGACTGCTCATCCAAGTCTGGACTTTATTCTTGTTCCAGAACTTCACATTTTACAAATCTGGCTTATTTGTTTGCAAACTTTTGCCTGATTGGTTTCTTGCCTCTCAGGCTGATGCACTCTGACTTTAAAAAGTTTGAAAAGCAATGAATAGTAACAAAGTTTTCAAATCCACACTGTAAAAGTTAAAAAAAAGACCCCTTTTCACACCTTTAGGCTCATCAGACATATGGGAAGAGCTCCCCATATTTTTTACAGAACAATTGGCACTAGGTGGGAATGTGGTCAGCATTATGCTGGCAGTCTTTACTTCCCCAGGACAGCCATCCTGGTACCCATTTTAAGCTGGGTGGACCTGTAACACCCCATACCATGATAAAAATTCACGCAATCAGTAGTGGGTTTCGATCACGGTACATTGGAATTACCAGTCGGACTCACAATGCCTAAGCCATCGATGCCTCAAATCCACACTGTGGTGAGGGTATTTTCCAAATTTACCAGGACTTCCAGGCTGATACCAGCCAAAGCTGTGAAAGGTGAAGGTAACTGGCTATTACAGTACCTATTTTTTGTCTATTCATCTATTAAAAAAACATATAGAGATGGCGTCATATATCCTGTTTGCCTGAAAACATGAGAAAAAGTCTTTCATTTACTCTAACGTACATAGTTTATATTTCTTAACTGCTGATATTAAACTGTTGTGTCACTTGTATGCATTCTAATCCTAGTTGTTACTTTCACTTCTTCCAACCCACGTCTTTGTTTTTGTTAATTCATTCAATTTAACTCATTCTCTTCCAGAATATATTTGCTGTAACTAATGAATATGTAGGTAAAAATGTGTTAAAGTGATCCTTCTAGAGAAAGAAAGATTTAAAGTAACACTCGCAGTGGTGTGGATTAAACTAGTGGAGGTGTATGAGGGGTAAAAAAAAAAGCTATATAATGTAAGCAGAACCCCAAAAACATAATGAATTGCTAGCTATCCACAGCTCAAAGTGTCAAACCAAACACTCAGCTCAGTAACTGGGAAATGAAAACTCTTTAGACTCACGGTCCAGAAACAGGAAATTTATGTCAGTAAAACCTAGCTGGAGACATAACTTTTCAGAGCATCAGCAGTCAGCCAACTATATACACACATACAGTCTCACCTCCTCTATAATAGACAGTGTAGTTGATAGATCCTTGCTGATAACACACATACGTATGCATGACACACACACGCATGCACCCACACAATCTCACCTCCTCTACAATAGACAGTGTAGTGACTAGAATCTTGCTAATTACACACACACACACACGCACACATATACACACTCGCACACACAGGCAGTCTCATCTCCTTTATAAAAGGCTATTATAGGCAGTTAATGATGCTGTTAAATCGAAACACCAAGAGGCAGGGGAAGACCAAGAAGAAGATGGATTGAAGGAGTCACAGACAACTTGAGACTTCATAACATCACGGCATATGAAGCGACTGAGCGCGCCCTGGCTCGGTTGCCGATCATCTGATAGACTGCAACGCCTAGCGGCACAAGCAGATTTTGACAAAAAAAAGAAGAATGACGCTGTTTTTTGGTATGAAAGCAAAACTATCATCTGCCATCATGGCAGAACTTCAGAAATAGGAGAAGTCCACAGGTCGTAGCTAACAGAACCACTGAGCCAAAGTATAACAGATGTATAGATTTCTTCTTTCTTTTGTCGTCTCACTGATACCAGGCTACAGCCCAGTGTTGTGGTTTTCTGTATTTGTCTTGCATTTCTGGCATGGATTGTGTAATGGATTTGTTCATAAAAAGTGTGGACTCAATTATGTTAAAGTAATGACGGCCTGCGACTGCAAATGAAAAAAAAGTAAAGGTTTTTTAAACATACCTTGCTGGACATAAATGAACATTACATGCTCTCATCTGATCATCAGGTCTAGTACTTTGGTCACAGTGACTTTCATCGACAAGTCCTGCTTCTTGTTCCTTACACACAACTGCGGATCTCTGGGTACCTGATGCATGGGAAAGGAAAAAGTTAGTTGCATCTTCTTTACAGGATGTAGTTGAACCAACCCCACAGCATTATTTGGCTGTCTGTGATTTCTCCAGACAATTTTACATTCAATAGTTTGCCATTGCCACTGGCCAGTCACCTCTTTATACCCTTGTCAAAACTAATATAAGTCAGTCTGCTGCCCAATTTGGGATCAACCCTGGCACCGCAGGATTACAAAGTGCCTTGCCAATGTCTAAGCCACAGACTTCAACAAAAGCATATACATAAAAAAGCAATACATAGAAAACAATTAAATAAGGTTGAGAAATTCATGAAACAGTTTACGAACAAATTTAATCCCAGTGGAGCTATAGCTTTTGTGAATAATGCAAACAAATATATTGAAGTGACAGAAAAACAAAGGTTAGAAAAGCATTCACTTCAGTCCTGTGTGAGAAAGATGTAAACTAATTAGAGAATTTAGAAGCAGACACTCCAAAGTTTTTTCAGACATGTTGTGGAAGAAATGGAGAACTTGGTAATGGCTCGCAAGATTAATTAAGAAACAGCAAGGGAGATGCATAGGGATTCAAACCTGGATGGTTTGACCAAATGCATGGTGAGACAAGAGCACTCACTTAATCCATGAATCTGGAGATCGTATGAGCCTACACTTGTCAGCATGGCACATGATGAAGACGATGATTAGAAATACAGGAACCGCCAACATACAAGGAAAAGGATCTTGCTTAAACACACACTACACAGACTTATGCACATGTGCATATAATCACACCTCCTCTACAAGAGACAGTGTAGGGGCTAGAACCTTGCTGATCACATCCACAGACACTCACAATTCTTACCTCCTCTACAACAGGCTATGTAGGGGCTAAAGGACTGCTATCAATGTGCATGCACACATAACTCTTTCAGTCCCAAGCAACACACTGTGTGTGAATGAATGTACCCTTTGCTTTCCTTCAATAACATAAATCACTCTCTCGTTTTTACCATCTGGTCAGAACATTCTAAAATACCTGGCTTCCCCACATGGTTGCTACAACTTTGTATAATGCCACTTTGAAAGCAAAGATTTCATGATTTGGCATTCTGATTATTTCATCATTATGGTATCTCAAATGAAACCATCTGCACTAAAAGAGATAAAGTCTCACCTCCTCCACAAGAGACAGTGCAGTGTGACCATGTCATGTAGTCCCAGCTGAACTCTGGTTTCTTGGTATTTGTTGCATTCTCTTTTGGAACTGTGTATTCAAACTCCACACCAGGGTTATGAGTTTGCATTAAAAGCTGAAATTGTAGAAAAATTAATTATTGCCTGGTTTCCCCTTCTTTCTATATCACTCCTAATCACAGACATGGTTACATTTATCTGAATCGTTAATATTATTTCTCATACTCATTGGACTCCAACATTTGTTACTTTAAAACAGAACATCTCAAAACACCATCACATCACCATCATCATGTAGCAGGTCATTTGCAGAGCACTGCTCTCATCACGGTGTGCCTGCTTAAAGAAATCCTGTCTATCTACAGCTCTCCTGCACTTTAATATCCAAGGAATAACTTATATCCTGAGCCAATCTTCGTGTCGGTCAGCCCCTGCTCCTCCTTCCTGATACCATGTTTTCTTCTATAATTGTTTTCCAATGTCTGAGACAAGATGCTGCTTATTCCTTGATGTTCAGATCTTTTAGAATGTTAGTATTTCTTTTCTTCTTTGTCTATTTACTTTGAGAATCTTTCTACAGCATTTCAGACAAAATCCCATTTTTTCTTACTTAAGGAAGATGGAATGAAACACAGAGCCACAAACTGTACAGATTAAACTTTTAAAGACTTTCATAATGTATATATATATATATACACATACACACACACACTCACACACACACACACATAAATATATATTTATACACACATACACACAAACACTCATTTATATATATATATATATATATATTTATACACACACACACACATACATTTAAATTTATACACACACACTCACACACATACATATATATACACACATACATACATATTTATATACACACACACACTCACACACATACATATATATATATATATATATATATATATATATATATATATATATATATATATACACACATACACACACACATACACACACACACATACACACCCACAGACACACACACACACATATATATATATATATATATATATATATATATATATATATATATATATACACATACATATATATTTATACACACATACACACACACATACATATATATATATATATATATATATATATATATATATATATATATATATATATATATATATATATATATATATATATATATATATATATGTGATAGCACAAAATGATGGTGTTGATGTTTAGATTAAACTCAGTTGATTATATATATATATACACACACACACACACACACACACACACACATATATATATATATATATATATATATATATATATATATATATATATATATATACACACACAAACACACACACCATTATATGGAGGGATTCCTTCAGAGGTCCTGGAGCTAAGAATTTTTCCTTGTTTCCAACCCTGTTGTAGTGAATTACTGTGCCAGCCATCTCATAGTCTCCAGACCACTGGGGAAATGATACAATCAAAGGCTATCACTGATATGTTCATTACAGTGGAAAACAAAATTCAGCTTGTCATATCATGTCATTTTATTCAATTAGAAAACTCAATTAAAAGTGTTCAAAGGTGAAAGGGAAGACACCTTTTATTGAACTGATTGCGATGTAGAGGTACCAGGGCCAAAACATATCTATACCTCTGTGTGGTTATTGTCTAGAAACAGGTTTCCTAAATTAGGCCTAGCCAACGTACATAGGAATTATGTTTCCTTTGAAGTCAAAGCACATCTGTGTAAAATCAAATGGAACAGTCAGTCTGCACATAATAGGAGAAATCTGGTAAATGGATGTGAATCCAACACTCAAGTAGATAGATCTAAATACAAAAACTTCAAAGTTTCTGATCACCAGAAATAGAAAGACCTGATCAAACAGTCAATAGTATCGAATTGATCCAACAAGACAAATGCTTAAAACTATATAGACTGATATTTAACAACACTGTTTGGTCTATCAACAGCTCCCACAATCAACTGTTTTGTCTTACTGACTGATAAAATGTGCTTGAAGTTTTCATGATTTTTCTTTATCGAAATTATTTATTAAGTTACTTGTGTGTGGCAATTATTCTTCAATATAATATCAAGACGCTTGTGTGTGACTGCATTCAAAGATGTCTTACCAAGCAAAATATATAAAACAAACAAAAATGCTAGGAAAACCCTTCAAATGGTAAAGAAATTAACAGATTAACTTATTCTGTATTAAATAAAGAACACAGTATTTATTTCTTACCCTAGAAAAACATGCTTTCCTCAACTAAATTTGTTAGATTCACCTAGTATATCCAAATTGTTCCTTTAACCTTTTTTGTCTTATAAGGCTTTTATTCAGAGTGATTTAGATCCAAACATTAGCTGATTAAAAAGAAACTGTTAAAACTATAAGGACGAAAAAAACATTGACAAATGAGATTATCCAAAACAAAACCCTAGGACAAAGACTGATAAGAGGCAATATATTTTGGACTGGCTTCCATCCATATTATCAAAAATATTGCATATGTAAAGATAGAATGAAGACAAAGACTACAAGCACAATGTGATAGCACAAAATGATGGTGATGATGTTTAGATTAAACTCAGTTGATTTAACAGTTCTGTGGTAACACATATAAATATGCACTCACCTGTATAAACCAGTGTCCATTGAGGTAGTATTCTCCAGCATCATTCTTTAAAGCAAGAAAGTTACTTGCCTCAGCCACCTCTTCAACCCGAATGTTACGAGCTCCTGCAGGGATCACCGCAGCTTCCACATAACCTGTAGTTATTGATGAATCTGACAATGATTATGATGGTTGATGATGGAAAATGATTAATGATTATGATGATAATGGAAATGACTGGTGATAATGAAGATGATGATGAACAGCACTTACCACTAACTTTCTTCTCAAGTCAAGTATGTACAGTTTGAATTTACTAATGCTGTATTAGCAGTAATTTTATCATATTTCTAGTTTAAAATTAGAAAATTCAGAGGTTTCATTGTTTTTTCTTATTCTTCATATACCAGATAACTCAGCTGGTCTAATATTTTTGGCTGTGTAATACTGCATATATTATAAGTGTTAATTAATATAGATTAGTAGACAATTAGGCAGACCAAGAAAACAATGGAGAAATAATATACGGACAGAACTACAAACACCCTGAGTCACCATTTGGAAAGAGAAGATCAATAATGGATGAATGGAGATGGGTGATATCTGCAGCAATGAATCAAGATGCAGAAGAAGTAGAGAAGATTATAATAAATTATGCGATTATAGATTCAAAGTTATAATTAAAATCAATGCAAAAGAGTATAGATGTACAGCACAATAGTTTTGTTTTTGCTCTATAGGCTTATGGCTAGTCTCTCCTCTTGAGCCTAGGGTGGCGGATAGGCAGAGGTTTTAGCTCTGTGCCTGGCGGTTCATTGCCACCTGCTTTAGTCCAATAATTGAGCCTTCCCTGATGATGATTCTATGCTGGGTCTCTCTTGGTCTTCCCTGTTTGGGCCAGGATGGCAGGATGTGTTTCCCTCTAGCTTGGCTGATCGATGACCCAACAAGCGACCATCACAAAACATTTTTAGCCCTAAATGTTACGATGCACACAGGGTACACTGTATACAAAATGATTTGTTTGTGTGTGTTAATGGTAAAAATGTTTGACCTTGAATTTTGGTTTCGTTGAACTGCTCTTTTATTGTCTCACATGTTGAACCATCTCCATAACATACACCACACCTGTCCTCCGTGGCACTGGAATCAATGATCCAGTCACAACCAACATGCTGGAATAGCATTGTAAAAATTACTTGTAAGGCACAATCTTTTATTTCTTAGGAAAATTACTATATGTGTGTAAATACTGACAAAAGACACAAATATTACTAATAAAAATAAAGATAAAAAGTGAGCATTCAGAAACAACATAAGTTAACTTTAACTTTTTATAGGCTTATATATATATATATATAGATTAAACAAAAAAATGTTAAGCACATAATGTACCTCTGTGTGGAATATCATATTTCAAATATGTGTAATTGTTCTGTGACCGAATCCTATCTCATAATATGAATAACATATTTGATTCAAAACATTGTTTTCCAGTTGTAAATTTAAATAGCGTATTATTTATCACACATTGGATAGACATCTGCTAAAAGTGATTGATGCTGCATCAATTAAACTCTACTCTCCTATATTATGTAAACAGACATATTACATGGTCACTTTTAAGCCACCATGGTAATCATGTGACCGATTTTAAATTTGCAGTGGGTAAAAAATGTACAGCAGCTCGACAATGTAGGTTATGCGCTGCTTCATTATATGTTGATTTAACTCTGCAGTAATGCACCTGATGAGATACAGCAAAATACGCCAGTTAATAAACTCAGGAGGACTTCAATGAGCTGCTCTTTGCTGACGATCAATGCATATTTCACAGTGATAGTAAACAGCTGCAAGACCACATAAACCTACTACACGACAGTTGCCTCAAGCATCATATGAAGATCAATACTGAAAAGACAGAGGTCATGAGCATAAGTAGAGAGCAACAGACCATCGACATAAAGATTCTAGATCACAGCCTTAAACAAGTGCAAGAATTTAAATACTTGGGAAGTATCTTTACATTCAATGGTAAAATAGACAGAGAGATCGAAGCAAGAATCCAACAAGCCAACAATGTCGCATACCAGCTTGCCCCAATTTTAAAACACCCTGCTGTCCCAGCTGGGATAAAAAGAGAAATTATAAATACAATCTTTATACCGACATTAGGTTATCAATGTCAGACTTGGACATTAACAAAAGAACACGAGAGAAGACTAACCACCTGTGAAATGAGATGTTTGAGAATGGCTGCGAATAAAACCAGAAGAGATCGAGTGAGAAACGATGTGATTACAAGAACCATACCCATCGTTAAATTTATTGAGAAGCAAAGAATGAAATGGTTTGGTCACCTAATGAGAATGGAACCAACGATGCCAGCATCAAGAGCATACAACATGAAAATCGAAACACCAAGAGGCAGGGGAAGACCAAGAAGAAGATGGATTGAAGGAGTCATGGACAACTTGAGACTTCATAACATCACTGCATATGAAGCGACTGAGCGCGCCCTGGCTCGGTTGCCGATCATCTGATAGACTGCGACGCCTAGCGGCACAAGCAGATTTTGACAAAAGAAAGAAGAAAGAAGAAGAATAAACTGTGCAATGTATTGTTTCTGTCTGCATTATTTACAGCATTTTATGTGGAATCAGAATATATTTGTTCCTGATAGAGAGTATTTACAATTTACTACAACAAGAATGAGAGAAATTAAAACAGAATAACTAAAGATAATACTGAACAATCTGCAGTGAAGTTGAAACCTCAACTAAGTATAACTAAAGATATTAGGTGCTGCAACCTGTTGTAACAGCAATATGGATCAACAAAAACAATTTTATTGCAATAAAAAGTAAAAACACAGAAACAGCTAATATACTAGCTTGAAAAGTAGCTTTCATTAAGGAACTGACTGTAGACAAGGACATTCAAGAAGCAATAAATGACAGCTCAGTGCATAGTGGCTTTCCTTGATGAATCATCTCAGTAAAGGCTATCAAAGTGGGAAGTTCAGCATTTAACTTCTAGTCACTTACCCTGCACCTCCCACTTATACACATATGTCTTGAGCCGATGACACAGGGGGTACCATCAGTTACTATATCCTTCAGCATCACAGAGAAGAACATATCTTTTGGTTTACAGTGAAGCTGGCAAGGTGTATCTGTTGGCACAATAAACAAGACTTTAAAGTTTGGTAATGCAAAATAAAGCTTCAGTTATATTTTGGCATAATGACTATCTCTATATCCCATTTACTTACCCAGGTGACCTGAAAGATTGATCTTCCAAATTATTTAACACTGTACCCCTAGCATGATAAAACTGGCTGCAACCCAGAAATAACAATAAATGATGAAGAAATTGAAAATGTCACAAACTTTAAATATACAGGTTCTGTAATAAATAGTAATGGAGACTGTTGGACAAAAATTAAAAGAAGGATGGCCAAAGCAATGCAACGATTAAGCAGCTTTAAAAGTCTTTGGTTATGCACCAGCAAGGAGATCAAAATAAGAATTTATAACTAATAATAATAATATGTCTAATGGAGAACTGTATTGACATATGCAACTGCAAGAAACATAGCTGGTGACATTCAGTACTCCACAAACAACCCTTACATTTGTTATGGTGTAATAGTTACCTGGTGTTGCAACAGGCTCCCATTCATACTGTGTTCCTTTGTATGGAATATCTTTAAACTCTGCGCACTGCTGTGTTCTAAAACTTGGAGCATCTTCTGGGCAGTTCTGAAAGAATGTCAAACAGGAAAATATTAGTACACTGATTTCAAATATGAAGCTGGAGAACCACTAAAGACATTGAAGAGAAGCTTTTGACAAATGCCTGAGGAAATTAATGAACATTTAATGGAAATTATTCAAGAAAGTTGAAAAGTAAAAGAAATGTCTATGTAACTCTTGATATGAACAATTATCAGAGAAATAAAGTGCAAATATATTCGACCCATCTTGAGGAAAAGCAGACAGGGAATCATCAAACAATTACCCCAATGGGAAACAAACTGACTGAGGGGGTGGTTGGAAAGGGGGAGGGGTGGGGGGGGGGGGGTTGGAGTAAGAAAAATCCTAAAAATAAATTGTATGAGAGAGGTCAAAGGTGGTGGACCTTATTCCAATGATGATGTTAAAAAGATCAGCATAGTAAAGAATGCAACAGGAAATAGACTAGGAGCCCCAGTGTGACTTATAAACAGCACAATAGAACAATGAGGATGATCCCTTAAAGTGATATAAAAAAGACTAAGCTGAGACACTTGTATATCACTGTCATAACTGCAGACAGGATAACAAAAGAGACCACAGTAAGCAGCAACTATGATGTCAGCTGTCTGCTCCTTGGGAATTGCATAAATGAACATCTGAGGAGAAACACATAAAGGGCACCATCATCATTAGGACAGCAGGTTACACCAGGCTGGTAATAGGTGCCCTAATTATAACTTTCTTAGAGGCTTAATGATGTGAGCCATGGCTAGATGCTCACCTACTGGCCCAAATGTCTTGGGTTCAAATCTATTTTGGGGATAATTTTTCTTAAAAATTAACCTGGGCGTCCAGGATGATGCAATCTAAAATGGGTGCCAGGTAATGACCTAGGAAGTAAAAATGGCTGATGTGATGCTGACCACATCACCCACCAACTGTCTATTGGTCTTTACATCATTAGGCTATAAGACCACAGGCATATAAAGGGTCCTTTGCTTAACGTACTTATTTCTGTTCTCTTCTTCTTTGTTCCCATGGGCTGTAAACAGAAAAAGTCCTGGTTGTTCATCCATTTCTGGAGCTTGGTTCCAGAATGTGAGTTATTCACATCAGGCTTATATGTAGACAGACTATTGGATCCTCACCTTTCAAGTGGATGTACTCCAACTTCTAAGGAAACCCCGCAAGTAAGTGGCCACCTATGACATGCTTGTTATGGGACAGTGGCTATATTCTTTGTTTCCCAAAAGGGGCTCTGAAACCCACATGGGGAGTACTCTATTACTTGCAGGTTCAATGAGATATTTTGTTTTTCCTTTTTTTTTTTTTTTTTTTTTGTTGTTGTTGAGATTTTGAAATCTTAACTCTTTGAGTCCCAATGAACGCATCATACGTTCATAGGTTCCTACTTACAAGCCCAATGAACGCATGATGCGCAGATTTTATTACTTTTTTTACTACCACCTGGGCCTGTGATGCTAAACCCCCTGGGACTCAAAGAGTTAATGTGCTAATACCTTCACACAACAGTCCAGAAAGAAAATACATGGAATGAGATGTACAGAAACACACATGTTATCAATAACTGCAGTGTTTTAGAAACAATCTGTTACCAATATATGTAAGCATGAAGGTATCATGATAATTTAATAAGCTAAGAAATAAATATTGGATGAGTTTAAAAAATGCAACATTTAGTAACTGCATTCCCTGATGACTGTTTAGTAGAACTTACAATACAGCTAATATTGTTAAAATACCAATATGCTTTGCTGGTGAATTAATTTCTGTAGTCTGAATCAAAACATGAAATACTCACATCTGTGTTGCATATTCTATATCTCTTTCTTTCACCTGTACAGTACTTCCCACCATTTGAGGGGCTAAAAAAGGTAGAAAAGAATAGAATTGTAACAGCCTATGACCAAAAAAAAAAATACATGTTGGAAATATACTCTAGTGTAGCTAGGTAGTCACAAAGAGTGTGGCAGTTGCTCTTCTGTCATTATGGTTTTTTTTTTTTAAATAAATAAAGGCTGCTTAGTTCACAAGTGTGTTAAAAGTCTTCTTGTGAATTTCCCTACTAAGATCACTCACCCTAACTTTCAAACCTGGCTACCCTCTAAATCAGTGATTCCCAAACTGTGCATCACAGTGCCCTGGGGAGCCGTGATCTCTTCACAGGGGTGCCATGAAATATTCGAAGATACAAGAGTTTTATTTTTGTAAAAAATTTTTACATAGGAATAATCATATTTTTACTTGGGTTAGGGCAATTTTAATAGAGACATTTTAATAGAAAAAAAAAATGCTGCGACTAAGAAAAGTTTGGGAAACACTGCTTTAAATAATTGCACTCACTGATTTGAGACACAAACATCAAAAATTTTCTTCTCTAACAGATTGCTCTTCCTCAATCTCTTAATGTTATTTTCCCACCCTTTTCACTGTCTACTTCTTTATTTCCCAACCCTTATCACTATTCCATGTCCACTGCTGCTATAATCTTAATTGCATCAAGTCCTTTTTGGTATTTTGCATGACTGCCTCCATATGATCTCTGACATGACAGGCTTTTATCGAAAGTAATACCCAGGTACCTTAGTTTACTCTCTGTTTTGATATTTGTGTCATTAATGGTCAGGCTTTGGACATCAGCTCTTATCTATTGTCCTGAGAGCATCATAAAACTGCCACTTTCTCTGGGTTGTTGACAGCACCTATTTCTGCAAACCAGTCAGTCACGTCTCTACAGTTGCCTCTAGCTCTTGGGCTGTCTGTTGCCTATCACTTCCCTGTCAATATACAGGAAGATCATCTGCAAATGCCAATATCCCTCCATCACCTCTGCTTCAAGTTCTGCAAGCTTGATTGTATCCATACTGATGAGGACTAGTGAAATTGTAGAACCATGGGCAATACAGCTTATCACTGTCTATATCTTGCTCATCTGCAACCAATGTTTCCCTCTGGATTGCTTTTTAAGAGAATGTCATGTGTTTAAATGTGGCTGAAATCTGTCTTCTTTTCTTTGTGTTTTCGTCATCAAATTTTCATACTTCAGCTCATTTTGCCCCATAAGCGATATTATTCGAATACTAACATTAATTGCATTTAAGCTGGAAATTTTAAAATAAAAAGAGATTAAAGTAAAACCTGCTAGGCACTGAAATAGTTCAAGCACAGAGTAAGTTAAAAATTACTTTACTTGGATGTCATAACAATGTCGATGAAGACCGTTACTAATGTTGTGTTACCATAATAATTATATTTTGACTTACGGAGGGTGATTACAGTGCCTTTGTGATAAACTGACTCCTGCACCACAAGTTCTGGTACAGCCAGTCCATTCTGCCCACTGGCCCCATTGCCCATCAATAGCCTGTGGTCTCTCACCAATATCAACACACTGACCAGCGAAGCACCACTACAGATAGAAGCATTAATAATGTCTTAAAGATAAAACAGTTCCGTAAACTCAAATATTTTAATAAAGCCTGATACTTTGTCACCATTCATTGTTTCTTACATCTTCTTTTCTTTTGATATTTCTGTTTCTGCTCGCTTCTTCTTCTAATGCCGCCGCTGCTGCTGCTGCTGCTGCTGCTGCTGCTTCTTCTTCTTCTTCTTCTTCTTCTTCTTCTTCTTCTTCTTCTTCTTCTTCTTCTTCTTCTTCTTCTTCTTCTTCTTCTTCTTCTTTGTCTTCTTCATCTTTATGTTCACGGTCTGTAAACAGTGGAAAGCCTTGTTGTTTTTCCATTTCTGGACTTTGATCTTAGTCAAGGACTTGAGATTTGCTTGCATATCTGTTTTATAGGTCTAGTTTATTTGTGTGCAGACTGTTGGTTCAATGCCCCTGAAACAGATTCTACCTACACGGGCCAGACCGGCAGTTGGAAACGTGCTTCTAGAATGACTGCAGAGAGGTGTAAATAGGTGTTGACCAGTATAAGCTCCAGTCTTGATACACTAACCTGTGTGGCATGTCTCATCCCACATTGTAAATAAGATTGACTACATAGCTACGTGGGATCATGTGGTCAAACAAGTCACATTAAATATAAAAAAACACCCTATCATGTTATAAAGGTTAAAGGTTACAGTGGAGACCATAGACTTCATTGCACTGAGTTGTTATCCCATAGGGCTCTGTTAGCACCTGCTAAGAGCATAATTGAAAACATGTACTTCCTAGCTCTGGCAATATCATGTTACAATTCTACACTAGCTTCTGACATTGGATTCTACTTTGTTTTTCCTACACAGAAACTGAATAACAGTTTCTCTTATTTTAAGCATGCTCAGCTAGTGAGCTACAATCACAAAACCTCAGGCTGAAACTACTATATAGGCATTAATAATTTTTTTTTTTAAAGCCCAAATCTGAACCTATAAGAGACAAAATATAGTAAGTAAAAGTAACAATCCCTTTTGACGACTTTTAGGTGCATCGGGAGTATAGGAAGAGCATCAATATTTTTACAGACAAATCGGCACTAGGTGGACAATGTGGCCATCTTTACTTATTTAGGACATCCATACTGGTACCTATTTTAGGCTGGGTCGACCAGCGACGTCACATACCATGATAAAAATCCACACTGCCAGCAGTGGGTTTCGATCACGGTACGTTGGAATTATGAGTCACAACGCCCAAGCCACGGACGCCACTTCGAGACAACCTATATCAACGGATAATTTGAGAATATTTTTTTTACTATGTTACCTACCTTATCAACACCACATATTGTGCCAACAGCTGCTGCCTGGAGTTTGGTTGAGCATTTATTATTTACCCTACACCACAAGGTTGTACATATATTCTGAAAAATATAAAAAAAATTTACTTCATGCAAGCTGTTGATGATATATATCCATTACATGCAACTACTGGCAAAAGCCAATAAACAAGGCTTTTTCATGGCATGAGTACTGACTCGAACAGGCATCCTAGCATCAACAGACTCACAAAACATACTGAGAAAGATAGAAATAGGTATGCTTCATGCAGAGTGGTAAAGCCTCGCTTCAGAGGCTGCTGATAGTTCATGTCCTTTGGAACTTTCCTTCGGCAAATGTGTGTTGTAAAATGAGCAGACAGATTGGCTTTTTCTACAGCACTTGATGGTGAATTACGTATGACAAGCTATGTGTGGTTCTCTGAGAGAAAGTGAATGTTGTGGAAACACAAAAATAGGTCTTTCCTTGGAAAAAAGACAACAACAAAAAAGACTGGGTTCTATAATAATGTTTGCACCAAAAGATATATTATTTTTTACAAAATTCTACATATTTTGAAAGTAGGTATGGGCTTTGCTGCAAAAATAGAAAAAAAACATTCGACCAGCATCCCAAAAGGGGGAGCTTTAGGTTATAATTGTGACTCAGTTATGTGCGCCATATAAAATGGCTTAGCATTAGACACCACCATGAGCCCTGAAAAAGTACTCCTGCAGTGTTGATGCGGTCAGAGGAGGCAGACCCAAATACTGTCCCTACTAATTCGTCTTCTGGCGAGCTAACGGACGACCCAATCGCTAATGTATACATTTTTTAAAGTACAAAAAGCTGTATTCCAACGTCGTCTTTTTCTTCAATATCTTTATATTTTAATGCAGTGTTTTCAAAAGATGAACGAAATCCGCCAGTCTTGCTAATGATCTTAACTAGGTTTTATGTTGTTTAAACGGGCCCTTCTGTTCACTTTGTATAAAGTACTTTTCAGGGTCTCTGATATTTCTGCGGTCCATTTTCTGCATGGTCGACCTCTCTCTCTGTAACCACTGTATAACACTGCTCTCTCTGGTGCACTGTCCGATGCCAGTCTTGTTACATGGCCAAACCATTTGATTTGTTGTCTACCTACAAAGTTTAGTGTTGGTTTTGTGCTGACTCTCCTCCTAATATTATCTTTTCTAAGTTGATTTTTCCTCGTTACACCTACCACAGTACGTAATCAGTTCATTTTTGTGGTGACTATTTTGCTTCTGTCTTCTGAAGACAGTGTCCATCTTTGACACTGATAGGATAGCATTGGTAAGAATATTGTGTTGAACAGTGTTTTTTTAGTGTTCATATTCAAATACTTGCGTTTCATAGCTGGTGACATTTGGCCTGAAACTTATATTACAAGCATTCTGAAAAATCACACTAGGGCTTATTTTCAGTTTAGGTCTTTATTTTGGGGAAACTGTAGATAACCACGGTCCACTGGCAATTTGCACCAGGAAGTGACCATGGGATCTGGCTGACCCTTAACACTCACAGGAAAGTCAAGATAGGCAAATAATCAAACAACTACGGCCTCCATCTAAAGCTTAAGTAATGCAGGTCAGAAGAATTTCTAGTCTGCTAAACTTCAGGTAGAATGGTACTTGTCTGCTAAACTTCAGGCTGAATGGTACTTGTCTGCTTAACTTCAGGTTGAATGGTACTTGTCTGCTAAACTTCAGGTTGAATGGTACTTGTCTGCTAAACTTCAGGTTGAAAGGTACTTGTCTGCTAAACTTCAGTTTGAATGGTACTTGTCTGCTAAACTTCAGGTTGAATGGTACTTGTCTGGAGCAAGCTAAAGAATTTAAATATCTGGGATGTTTATTCTTGGTTGTTGGGAGAACAGATGGGGAAATATAAATAAGATGCCAATGAGCCAGAGCACTTATATACCACTGAGACAAAAATTGAGACATCCAAACATAAGGATGCCAAAAAACAAATTATAAACAGCATATTCATACCAACCATGTGCTAACAGTGCCAGATGGGGACATTATTAAAGGCTAACCTAAGTAAAAGCAACACATGTGAAATGAAATGCCACCAGCTTAATCAACCAAGACAAAGTGAGAAAAGATACTATTAGACGGTGTGAACAATATCATGCACAGAATTCACTGAGAAATGGAAGATCGAATGGTTTGGTCATCTCGTTAGAATGCAACAACTACCAACACAGATGATCCACCTGAAGAAGATCTCATGTGAAAGCAAGGGATCACCCTCAGAGATACTATGAAGGTTACCAAGAAAAAGATAGATATTGCAAAAAAGTCCTTGAGCTGTAACAGTATTAAATATAGAACAAAAATGGGCATAACTTTAAAAAAACACTGACAAAAACATAAACACTGATAACAATATGCTTTCTAATAACTTTCTTCTAATATGAAATCCAATGCATCTATGATCAATAAGTTAATCGAAATAAAAGATTATATTGTATACTCTTGCCCACTTGTTCTAATAAATGTAAAACTTACTTCTAAGACTTCAATGCCATTGCATCTTTCAGCACCTTCTCCATACAAGAGCCTGCACTGGTGATCAGCATCATACATTGTGCCAGCTGGCAGCTCAGGGTACTTGAAATCATGCTGGCCAGGTGGGTCATCCAAACAATATCCCCAGTTGCGGCTGAAAGAGATGATAACAACTTCTGAGCAATATGTATGACTTCTGAGTTATTTTGTTGTGTGTAAACGTGCGTGTGTGTGTGTGTGTGTGTGTGTGTGTGTGTGTGTGTGTGTGCGGGTGCGTTTGTATATGAATGTATGTGTGTGTATGCATGTATGTATGTGGGTGTATGTATGTATGTATGTGTGTTCATGAATGTGTGTGTGTGCATGTTTGAATGTTTGTACGTGCATGTAAGTATATGTGTGTGGGTGTATGTAAGTACTGTGTATGTATGCATATGACTGTATATGTTTCTGTATATGTATGAGCATATAAGAGTATGTGTACGTGTGTATGCTGGAGTGTGTATGATTTTGAATACATGATGTGTGTATGCATTATTTCATTATGTATATGTTTATATGAACATGATATGCATTAGTGAAAACATGCAATTGTGCTTTGAAAGATAAGTGCTTAGAAGGGCAGGATTTAAGACAGGCCTGCGTGCCCAAATTTTTATCCCTTTGAAAATTAAGTTTTTTTCTTTTGCTCGTTTGATCTTAGGATTGTGTAGCGCAGGTGGTTGTGAGCTTGCTGATTTAAGGCCACATAGCTAGTACAGACGCCACACACTGTGCAGGTTAACTTTGGAGTTTTTTGGGCCACCAGCAGACAAACAATGTCTATCCCTTGCCAAGAATAAAACCTAAGTCATCGCTGAGAGCACACTGCTCTAACCACTTAGCCAGCAACTGAAAGTAACACCGATAATTTACAATTAAATGTGGATTTGCTGAAAAATATTGATACTCACTCTAGGAATTTGGTGATGGCTGCCCTGCTGCAGTTGGACCAACTGGAAGGTGTCTTATCCCAAGTCAAGTGAGGAGCCATGACGTACTGGATCTCTGGATCTGCCAAGCAGTCACTGTGCTGGTTGTCATGTTTCATGCCAAAACTGGGAGGATAATGAGCATATTCTAATGTTAGTACTCTCAAATGTTGAAGTTAGTCTACTGTTAACTGTCTTGGATATTCCTCTTATTCTGCGTTCACCGTTACAGGCCAGTTGGTAACTTATGTAGACGTTCAGAGCTAGGCTACAATATCTGCCTGAAACATCTGATTTCATCAAACTCCTGATTTGAAGCCTGTTATAAAATGCAATGAGGATTTAAACGCAAAACTTTCAAGCTGGCAGGCAGGCGTTTCCCCTGACCTTCCTTTATCATTTATTCCATTAGACTATGAGGTTACTACTTGTCTTGAATACTAAGCTAGTGACCTGAATTAGTTCATTTTATATTAGACCAGTAGTATTTAAAATATATTGTTAAAACTCAGCCAGTAGCATTCTTACAGTAAACTGTATGTTTTCTTGAGTTTGTATTTGTAAATGATTATTCTGTATATGTTTTCGGACATGTGCAGTTGTATCTTTATGGGCATGCATATGTAAAGATGTGGTTCTGTGCAACAAAATGTTTGGTTCTAGTTAAGTGTTTGAACATAGAAATGAGCTTTGCTACTAAATATCAGAAGAAATATCATAATATTGAACCATATTTACTATTCAAAAATGAACTCCGGAAGATGCTCCATAACTAATATATGATATATGACCCACTACAAAAAGCTTATGACAAAAGAAAATACACTGTAAATAAATGGCACTGCAGAACACAGGAAAGGATTAACAGTACATCAAAAGAACAAAGTTTTGCATTATGTGTTGGTAAAATATAGTAAGAGGGAATACTTTTATCCCAGATCACTTTGAGTATTCCCACAGACAAATTATCAGTCAGTCAGTGAGTCAGTCAGATTGCAGAATTGTGATCCCAAAGCAACCCTCCGAAAAACTTCTTGATCACAGGCAAGATGGCCCGCGTCCGATACACCCACCTGGAGATCATCCACCACATCCTGCACCCATCTTCTCTTTGGCCTTCCTCTTCCTCTCATCCCAGCCATTTACCTCTCCATTATTGTTCTCTGGGAACTTTGGTGACGTTTCAAGTTACCAAAATATTTCAATGTTTTTGTGTTTTATTGTCTTTAATAGCCGACCTTCTTCAAAATTCAGCTCTTGGAGTACGGATGCAGACACATTATACAATATGAATATTTCAATTATTAAAAATGTAAAACTTAAAATATAATAAACTTAACATCTATACTCTTAAAATATTTTACAGTTAATACATTATCTAGGCAATATTAGCTCTTTCAGTATCAGAAGATGTCATAGGAAAAGGCAATGTAAAAAAATAACCATTGTGAAAACCATGAGTGCTTTACTTTCAAAGTGGCAATATACACCGAAGCTGGTGACTATTATTAAAGCCAGGTTTCTTTAGTACATTCTCATCAACTATTAAAATTTGGAGTACACATTACACTATGGAGGAAAACCAATGGGTAAAATTATCCATATATCAGGCGATGTCCAGTATCAAAATTCTTTAAATCAAAAGTATAACCCAGACGGGTTGAAAAAATTATCTTGTTTTAATTTACTACTTGTACTTTACTTGTGTCCAAGTTCATGAGCAACCGTCCAAGCCAGAGACAGTCCAGTGTCTTCGTTGATGCTACAAGTTCTGTGTGGCTGACACAGCCCAGCCACTTGCGCTAAACCTAAAGTGCTGCAAGGTTCGTTGTTGCGGGAGCAGATGTTTCTTCTGCAACAGACAAGCCAAAAAGCCAGTAATGAATTTGTGTGTAGTAATTATCGCATGCTGTAGAATTATAGTTTCTGACACAAATAGCATAGGTTCCTTGGACAGCCAGGTAACTAATAAAGGCTTGAAAGTTTACAATAAAAACACAGCTCAGTTTTCACAAGCTCCTGAGACTCCGACATACTTGGAGGTTGGTTGAGTCCTCATTCACATCCTCTACAGTGAATTGCAGATGGGTAGAACATGTTTAGGTCTACCTCTACTACCTTACAAAAGTATGTGCAAGTGGGACTTGAATGATACTGGTACTGATGTAGTTCAGTGTGAACATGATGCTATAGACAGTTAGGCATAGAGGGGGGAAATCAGGAAATAAACAGTGATATAGAAGAAAATGATTGCAGAAAGGTTAAGAGCTTAGTGTCTGAGAAAAGTTAAGAGTTTAGTGTCTAAGAAGTGGCACATTAAGTACATTTTATAGCAACAATGGTACTGAAACCCATGCTATAATTGTTGAAAACATTTCCTAACTTGGATGGGTCTTGCTAGTCCCACTCACCATTTCCATGGGGCTGTGATTCATATGTCTCCATATAGCAACCTATTACACTATCGCCTGGAAAGATGAACCGTTGCCAACAATAGCTATTTCAAAACATTTTAAGCACAAATTGTACCAGACAAACAAACAGAAGCAAATTTAATAAAAGATTGTTTAAAACAAAAAAGAGACAAACTGTTCTTTAGTCTTGCAATGAAAAGAAAGGCATTAAGGAACTGCATATGGCTAGAAAGATCCGCGGTAGAAGAGACAGTTATACTACTGTTTTGTGTGAAGTGTTAGGACCACGTATTCTAGGCCATGTCACTATGAGGTAGGGTGGCTATGTAAATTCCTTTGCTGAATTTTCTTTTCAGGTATTTCTCATAAAATTCTGAAACGCACCCACATGTAAGTCTGAGTCGACACCAGAGGCACAACAGCATGCCGTGTATCTGCAAGGAACTAACAGTCTGCAAACAAGTAAGTCAGATCTGTGAAACGGATGTGCACGCAACATTCATGTTCTGGAACAAAATCAATGTCCTGAGGTGGACGAACAACTAGAACTTTCCACCGGAGTTTACAGACGGTGAACGTAAATAAGAAGAATAAAAATAAGCAGGCTACTGAACTGGTAGTAGACTGAGTCTTTGGAAATGTGTTTATACAAGAGACTATGTTGTATTTGATAAAAACAAAAGCAAGGAGGTTATGAAGAGGCTATACATGAAAGGATAGTTGTTGAACCTAATAACAATAAATAATTTTTTTTTAAAGGAAAGAAAGAAACAAGAGAAATGTTTATGCCATTTAAAAACCATAACACCCGTTATAAAAACCATACTAAAGGCAAGCGAGTAGGAGACAGATCTGGATAGACTTGGACGGACGACATGACGAGAGACTACATAAATAATAACAATTACAGTATGTTTGAGATCAACTGCTGCAAACATTCATTACTAAGACGGCACCTGTTCCTAACCTTCCTAATGCCGCGACCATTTAATACAGTTCCTCATGTGGTGACCCCCAACTATAAATTATTTTCGCTGCTACTTCATAACTTGCGTGAATATCTGTTTTCGGATGGTCTTAGGCGACCCCTGTGAAAGTGTCGTTCGACCCTAAAAGTTGTCCCGACTCACAGTTTGAGAACCGCTTGTCTAGGCAATCCACTACGCCAAACCTTGTCATCAAGACTGCTAAAGTTGATGGTCATACCTTGTCATCAAGACTGCTACAGATACGGGACATACCTTGTCATCAAGACTGCTACAGTTGACGGACATACCTTGTCATCAAGACTGCGATAGTTGAGTTGACGGATATACCCTTGTCATTAAGACTGCAACAGTTACGGGACATACCTTGTCATCAAGACTGCTACATCGTGGTGGTTGGGGTGATCGTCATCCCTAAAGTTGATGCCTTTCTGCCATTTGCAGAAACTCTTCAACGTCTTGTCGGCATGGTGTGTTATCTGCAGTTCTTCCTGTTCATTCATAAATATAATCATTTATTTTAATAGCTTTCATCGCTATATTGCAGAAGTATGTTAACTATTTTAGTATCCATTATTTGAAGTTTTACAAATGTTTACTTTTGTTGCTTTCTTCTGTTACATAAAAAAGAGAGGTTAAAGTCGAGAGTTTCAACTTCACTGCGCCGGGTTTCATCCCACTGGGCTCTGTCTCTCTCAGCAGAGCGGCAAGCCGCACCGAAAGCGCCGCCCAGAGCACGAACCCCGTAGCTCCACATACGATCCCCAGTGACCTCCTTAAAAATTGCACTCGTGAACTGAAGGGCGCAGCCGTGAAACGACCACACGACCTTCAAAGCACGAGGCAAACGGCTTGACCACCTCGCCACTGAGATCCCTGTCGTCTATTACATTAAAACACCATACTCCATTCATTGCGTGATTAGTGATAATCATTCGCCCAGCACTCCGGGTAGTCCTGGATAAAGTCCTGGGAAGTAGAGGTGGTTGGAATGATCTTGACCTCGTCACACACCAAGTGCCGATTGGTCTATAAAATATAGTTCTAGCGCTATGTGCTCAGTAAGGCCTGAAGGTGTAGAAATGGGTGCTTAAGTTTACCTTGACATTGACTGATGATATCTACTTTTGTCTATCGACAGTGCCCTGCTGTGATCTTTTGCAGACTTCCTACTGTGCATATTTTGAAGATTACTTAAATTCATTTTCGTTATTTATACGACAGGAAACCCAGGTAAACAATTCACAGTTGTAACAAGTTTGAAGTTTGAACTTCATGGCACAAGGTAGTAACCCATACGTGGGCTATACTCAGAATGACGGTCCCAAATTATCGAGGTCGAAAATATAACCTAACAGGGCCTCAGTCACATGTCAATGCCAACTTCCGGAGATTATACCGCCACCGTATCCCATACGCCGCTCACGTGGCGTGGATTAGGGCTAAACTAGATGACTGGGACTCACGAGCAAATAAAATGAAGGAAGCTGCAAGAGATGCTGTAGCTGCTGCTCGTGTGTCCCAGCCATCTAGTTTAGCCCTAATCCACGCCACGTGAGCGGCGTATGGGATACGGTGGCGGTATAATCTCCGGAATACACTCAGCGGTGGCGGAAGTGCGCAATTTAGGTCGCTGGAAGTGTGCAATTGACACGTGACTGAGGCCCTTTTAGGCTATATTTTCGGCCTCGATAATTTGAGACCGTCATTCGGAGGATAGCGCTTAAGTGCTCCGTTGTTCTGCTAACTGAAGTCTGAGTCCGAAGAAGCTCAGCACAGGACACAGGTTCTGTAGCACCGGCGAGGATCCGGATCAGTTGTAACAAAAATAAATTAATAAAGACAGAACATATATAATTAGGAGAAATAGAAATAACGAACTCACATCCGGATCTTGCATCAGAACAATTCTAACAATAACAATGTTGACTGCGTTTCCAATGGAAGCATCGTGGAAAAGAGCGGCTACCTGTGAATGAGAAATTAACAACTTAACTGTCAGAACGTAGGAAAACTAAGAATTCGAAGTACGAATAAACATCAAATGAGGGTGAGTGCTGCGTGTATGTGTGTCTGTGTGTAAGTATACACGTACATGCGTGTTTTCATATGCGTGTGTTGTTTATACCAGTGTATGTGTATATGATGGATAGGTAATGATGCATGTAACCGAGGAAATATGTGTATGCTGTAGCACAAAGGGTGAGCTAACAAGTCTCGGTTCCTCAATAATAACAGATTGAGATCAATCTCACAGCTGTGTTTTTATTTAGGGGAAAGATTAGTGACTGATGAGAACTATCATCACAGTACTCCGAACAGATCCATAGGTGCTCAGATCTCATGTCCTCATCAGAAGCTCCACTAAAAGAAATGAGGAAAGGAATACAAGGGAAAAGACCAAATTCACTGATGGGAACTGACAACATTCTGCTTTAACAGATTAAGAAGATCAGAACAAATTATTATCATGAAGACGGTAAGCGAGTTGTGTGATTTATGAAAAGTAAAATGTGTTTTCTTTTGAAGATATGCAGCGACGAGGTTACATGAGAGAGAGAGAGAGAGAGAGAGAGAGAGAGAGAGAGAGAGAGAGAGGGGAGAGAGAAAGAAAGAGAGAGAGAGAGAGAGAGAGAGAGAGAGAGAGAGAGAAATAGAGAGAGGATGAGAGCGGTGGGAGAGTGGTTTATTTGAGGAAAAAACATTATGAGACCACGTAACTAAATACAAGAAACTTTCTTAATCACTTAAACTGAGATAGATTAAATATTCCTATATTTCTGATGTGTATCGTGACAAGAGAAGCAGGGCAGAGAGCGAGATACAACAGCGAGCGCGCGCGCGCACACACACACACACGCACTAGAGCGCCCACAGACACACAGACACACACACGCGCACCCACGAAACCAACTAGAAAGGGCCGTGAGACAGACAGACAGATAGACTGACTAACAGACAGACAGACAGACAGACAGACAGACAGACAGACAGACAGACAGACAGACAGACAGACAGACAGACAGACAGACAGACAGACAGACAGACAGACAGACAGACAGACAGACAGACAGACAGACAGACCGACCGACCGACCGACCGACCGACCGACCGACCGACCGACCGACCGACCGACCGACCGACCGACAGACAGACAGACAGACAGACCGACAGACGACAGACAGACGACAGACAGACGACAGACAGACCGACCGACCGACCGACCGACCGACGACCGACACCGACAGACAGACCGACAGACAGACAGACAGACAGACAGACAGACAGACAGACAGACAGACAGACAGACAGACAGACAGACAGACAGACAGACAGACAGACAGACAGGCGCACAGAGAAACAGACAACATGTAGCTCACCATATTCATAACTGTGAGGACGTATGTCTCAATTTCCTCATTTTCATAATAGTTGACCATATCCGTATCTACGACCACCAGTGTCTCCACGTGTTTCTCTATAGATATGGATCTTTTCTTCCTTCTGTGGGATGACGATGCCTCCCCTCCCTGTGAGTTCTTTCTTGCGACACTCCGCATGTGTCTCTCCCATCTTTCTCTGTGGCTCAGAGCTCTTTCATATTGTTCTGCAATATAGAAGTCAATATTATTTGTTTAATGTGTTTCTTAGTACTGTTGTCTTATTTTAACAATTTGATAAATTTAAAGAGGCAAAATAAAATAATCTATATTAATAAAACTACGTAGCTCCAGCAACGGTCAAATCATTATTTGTTTCCTTGCCGGCCCGAATTTGTTTTTAGTTCATTGGCCATTTTTGACTGCTGAGCAGGGCTGACACTGGCGACTTGGGTTCACATTTTGCAGCGTTGTTTACTTTGTTGTTTTAGTGTATTCCCACCCCGCCCCCTTTTTCCAACACCCCTACCCCCTCCCTACACCCCCCCTCCTTACATGCCACCCCCTCACCACACCCCCACCCCCTCCCCACACCACTTCCCACATTATATACTTACATAAAAGTGGGTAAATTGTTCCTGTCGTTACTATAAAATTTATACTATTTATTATTCTTCGCTTTTTGTTTTCGTTTTTTTTTTTCCCTTATGTTTTGCTTGGGTTTTTTGGTCACATTAGCTTGGGTTTTGCAGCCCCGAGTATACTACGTTTGTTTCCCCATTGTGGTTTGTATTTCGTTTAAAAAAAAAAAATACTATTGTGCATTTCAATTGGCGGCGGAGTTGACATGTCTGGATTGATTTACGTTCGTTATGCCCACGACCATTTCCTAAGTGAGTATTTGGACATGTAATGTCCGGAACCTGAGACACTTTTTCTTATTGAACTTTGCATTATTATATAATTTCATTTCCACCGAATACTTGAGTCTTTGGTAGTGTAATTGTACATATTTTGCCTATCAATGGTTGACCCGCGTTCGATTCCCCGCTAGGTGATATAATTTTTTTTTTTGTGTGCCCGTAACTGGACGGCTGGCACGTTGTGTTGTGGTTTATGGCTAGGCTGCGATATCTACGCCTTTTTATCAGTTCTGACGTTTACTGCTAGCCTGCGATAGCGGCGACGTGATGCTCAATGGTCATTTCACGGGTATTCTTCGTTCGCCTTCGAGAGGGCCGTTGTCACGTTGTGTTGTGGTTTACAGCTAGGCTGCGATATCTGACCTAAACTCTTCAGTCTTCGGTAGTATAGTTGCAAGTATTTTACCCTTCACGCGGGAAAACGGTGTTCGATTCCCCGCTGGGTGATAATTGTTATTTTTCCCTTAGAGGGTGGTTGCCACGTTGTGTTGTGATTTACAGCTAGGCTTTGATATCTGCGCTTTTCACCCAAAGACATCCGATATCAGTAAAGTCCCAATTAGCCTCCCTGCGACGCTTCACTCGATCAAAAAATATTCGGCGATGACAGAAACTATTAACTAAGACGGCATACAGTCCAGTTTAGTTTGGGTGGACATGGATGCCAAGGTCAGTTACAAATCGTCCCTTCGGAGAGGGAGTGATGACGGGTGCGGGGTATTTTTCACCGCTATTTGTGAGTATAGTGTACTGTTTTTTTTTTTTTTTCATTACCGACTATTACTGTGGGTTCCATCACTGGCTAGGTGATGAAGTTTTTTTTTTTTTTCCCATGTCGGGGGCAAAATTAAACTAAACAGTCCGTGGCGACAGCATGCGGCGCTAACTCCTCTGGCAACATCGACCTACACAGATATAAGTGACAGTTTTTATTGTTGTTGTTGTTGTGAAGGTAGTGGTGGTAGTGGTAGCAGTAGTACGTACTGAATAGGTGATGTGGTAGCTGTTACACTGGCTACATTTACTTTTCAGTACAAACTAATGCTACCCATTTTAGTCTCGGTGGAAACGGATGCCAAGCTCAATTTAGTTACAATATTTCGTCAGGTTATGACTTTCCCATCCTTCGGAGAGGATGATATGAATAGTGGGTGGGGGAGGGGTAGGAGGGTTAAGTGAGAGAGCTCAAAACTATTTCTATTTTAATAATTTCGCCAGGTAATGGTTTTTAAATCCTTTGGAGAGGGAGGTATGATTGGAGGGGGGGGGGTGGGGGGGGGAGGGTTATGCCAGATACTGTTAGCTGAGAGAGCTTAAAACATTATTTTCAAGTTCTTATTTCTTAACTATTTCTTTTTTAATAGTTTCGCCAGGGATGATTTTTCAATCCTTCGGAGAGGAAGCTATGACTGAGTCGAAAAGGGGGGGGGGGTCTTTACAGACACTGTTAGCTGAGAGCTATTTTCTTTCTTTTCCATTTCACCATTTTGGGCCACAGCAACGCGTGGCCGGGTACAACTAGTCACAATATATAGTAAATGGACAATGTCTTATGAATTCTTGTCCAAATGGGGGCACTTGATTTATCGGGTATTGGTCCCTCGTTGTGTTCCTAATAGGGTTGAATGTTACTTACCATAAAGGGACAGTCTCACGCATTTGTACAAAACATAATTCATATAGTAATTTCTCTGAATCATTCCACCTCGTAAACATTTATTACTGAAGCCGTTTACTGCAATCTTGGAGCCGCCGTGGTCTAGCGGCTAGACTCCCGCCTCAGATCGAAAGGTCGTGGGTTCGTATCCCAACGGAGCCGGACTTTTTGAAAAAAAAATTACATTGGCTCCCATGTAGACCCAGCCTTGAGTAGGTAACAGAAACATTCCTCAGAAGTAAAGGTGGCCGGCGTGATGCTGATCACATAACCCACCAAGTGCCGTTGGTCTATAAAATATAGGTCTAGACCTATATATCTAATATACGCATAAAAGGCGTGGAAAACGGTACTTTACTATTTTATTTACTGCATTCTTCCAGCGTGGGTTCCCTTGTCCAACTTTGAGAAAATAAAAAAATAAACACAAATACTCCTTAATATAAGGGTTTGCTGATATCGAATGTTTTGTTATGAAACGCCAGGATACTCAGCCTAGTCGTAAACCGAGGCCCAAAATGCCAAACAAATATGAGAGAACAAACAATGGCAAGAAGAATACAACTACAGTGTGGGGAAAAAAAAAAAGAATGGAGTGCTTGGAAGGGCTGATTGTAAGACAGGTCTACGTGCCCAACTTGTAACCTTTTGAAAATAAAGTTTGTTCGTTCATTAGTTCTTTAATTATTCTCGTTTCGGTTTTGTTTAGTAGAGACTGCATTCGATCGTTCCCATGTGCTGTTTTATCCGGGGAACTTCTTAATCGTATTTTATGTTAATAAAATGTTTCTGTGTAACGCGTCGACCAGCACATCTGCTCACCGGATTGCATATCCTCATAAAATACACATGTGCCTAACAACGATGTTGAGAGAAAACAAGATGCGTCATCATCATCATTATTATTAACAACATTACCATCTCTACTTTCGGCACTAGTCGCCGTGGGAACTAACAGTTCGTAGTCCAGCACTGGAGGGGCAGCCGCGTGTCATTCCGTGTGGATAAACACATGTGTCATGGTTTCAACCAGCAAGACGGGTATGTGATTTCTCTCGGAGACACTTCAAATAGGTAATTTGTATGTATTCTTGTTCGTGTTTGTAGAATTATATATTAATGTAGGTGCTGATGAAGGCTCTCTAGCCGCAACGTTCAGATTTCGTTTGTGTTTGGGATAATGTAAAGCTGACTTGTTCTTATTTTTGTTTGATTTGATATCTTTTCATGATCATTCCGTGTCATCAATCCATGTACACGGAGGGGGGAGGGGAGGGGGGGGGGGGGAGCGTTCTCTGTATTTACGAGGATTTCTTACGAGTTAAGAATGTGATAACCCATATATTCTGGATTACTCTGAAATGTATTCTTGTTTTGCTCGTTGCTGAAGACTTTAGTCGAAACGTTTGCTTATATCCATGCGGACCGTTCCTTTTCCGCTGTGGAATTTATTAGTCTTATTTTATGTTCATTTAGTTTTTACTTTCAACCGCTCGACTAGCACATCTTCTTACCGGATTGCATTTCCTCATAAAATAAACATGTGCCTAGCATCTTTGTTAAGGAGGGGAAAAGGGCAATATTCTGAACACATGTGAATTATATTTATTGTGAGATATATAACTGCAACCTTTTAAATCACAACCCAAGTAGTTCTTAAAAAGTGGATGGTTAGTTGCGTATCCTTTATAGGACGTTGCAGAACCAACCCCAACAGCCCCCGGCTGTTGTATGTTTTTTCTAGGCAAATTTACGTCCAGTAGTGCCATTGCTTTCTGGACGGTCGGCTTTCTTGATACCACTGTCAAAACCAACGCAAGGCCCATGTCCCGCAGCTGGGATCGAATCCGGCATCCCGGCATTACGAAGCGTTCGCATCGACTTAGCCACAGAGCCGACTTAAAAAGTGGATAGAGGATCACAATTTTCGACGCAACATGATGAAGCGAGTGTGATCGGCAGTAACGTCCGGGTTTCAAAAAGAACTTTTTTATCGTGCGCATTACATGGCACCTGATCCAGCAACAGTTATACGAATATCCTTAACAGCAGTGTTCTTCAATCAGTTTTCAGCAGACCGGTGCTGGGGCTACAATGTCAACTAGTTGGCGAAACCAATTGGCGAAATCAGATAAATGTTTTTGCAGAAACAACGCTCGAGCCGTGTAAATCGATATTCAAAGCTCTCTGTTTCAGAATATATCACTGGCTTAAGTTGTAATTCTGAAACATTACAATTAATATTATATGTATACATTCGCATTCGTTTTTATGTTTCTCTTTTAGCCGTTAGTCGGTTCACAAAATAGGTACATTTTGCCGGTCCTAGGGTGTAGAAAGTGTGAAGAACCCTGGTCTTTGTGAAAGCCTAACATTTCCCAAATCAACGGCTGAGGCACCAGAAGGGAGCTAAGTTGTCTCTATAACATTTTATATGTTTCTTTTTGAAGAACGTGTTAAAACATTTTGTTTAAGTTCCAAAATAATATTATTTTTATTATTATTTTATTTGCCATTCAGCACATAATAACATTATTAATTATGAATTTCGCATAACTGAAAAAAGCTTAGGTCCACTA